ACGATTCAATTGGAACAAAGTGTGTACTAATATGTATGTATGTCAGGTAAGGTTAGGATTATTTTTCAACAATGCTTATATTTTGTTATTTTTTAATAATAAATAATAAAATCTAAATAATAAAAAAGATATTATTTAGTTCACGTCGCAAATGCCAGTCTCTTTTCAAGCCGCTACGCTTATTAACTTTAATTTTCACTAGAAAACACAGCCGACTAGTAACCCTCGAACTGAGTACGAATGTGTAGTGTTGCATCGACGATTACGACATTGGAATGCAACTTGTGTCGCCGTGTGCATGAAAGTATCTAGGGATATTGCAATTGAAAAGCACCCACAAGGTAGCCAATAAACTTTTAGCTCCTAGGCTATTACATGTATTGTACACAAACTAATCGGATGTTTTGATTGGCTGTCGAATAGAGAATTTCCGAAATGTCCGACAATGGGTGTTTACGATAATTCGAGTTGGAGTTAGTACGAGTAATGGCTCCTGCACATAGGACGCGGTAATGCTTGCCGCGCGGCGGAAGTTCGCACGACAGCCAATCAATATGCTGCTTTCCGTAATAACCTTCTAGCTTTTAGAGAAAAACAACATATTGATTGGCTGTTGCTCGAACTTCCGCCGTGCGACAAGCGTTACCGCGTCCTGTGTGCAGAAGCCATAAGAAGTTGTCATAAACTACAAAAGTACTAGATGGTCGTGCCTATCATAATTTCGGTCCTAGTGGAACTAACTCTAATGGCTCCTGCACACAGGACGCGGTAATGTTTGCCGCGCGGCGGAAGTTCGCGCGACAGCCAATCAATATGCTGCTTTCCGTAATAACCTTCTAGCTCTTACGGAAAAACAATATATTGATTAGCTGTCACGCGGACTTCCGCCGCGCGGCAAGCATTACCGCGTCTTGTGTGCAGAAGCCATAATTGTCGTAAATACTCAATGTAATATTGTCGGACGGATGAGTGTACAGAGGTGTAGAGTTGTGACAAGTTTATGTCACGGTGTCAAAAGTAAACATCACGGGAGTGAGTAACAAGTTATGGAGACAGAGGTTAACAATAAATTTTGTGAATCGGCAGTTCCTCGTGCTATTTTGTGGAAGAAGAAGAAAGTTAGCATCAAATGTCAAAAGCCGTAAATTTCAGATAACGTTTGCATTGAGTTCATAAGCGTAAAAATAAACAATGCGACTGTCTTTATCATAGATTGTATATTTATATAAAAAATAACGTTATCTGAAATTTACGGCTTTTGACATTTGGTACTGTTACGTCCACGATAGATAACTATATAGAGAAATTTGAAAGTAGTGAAATCAGTGACTTACGTGAACGGTCAACAGAGTGATGATTCCGCTTTTGGGTCACTCA